GCGTTCACCCATTACAACGCGGCAGTCATTCATTCAGTAACTGTGTTTTGTCGTTTTTTTTAAAATTATTTCTCTATTTCATAAATCAATAGTGTCTAGTAACCTGCTAAATAACAAGACGATTCAGCCGTCAAATTCGATTTTGTCCAATGCCGGAGTCCAGCGACAGTGTACAAACGTGCTCCGGTGACGACCACGGTGACTAGCGACACCAGACCGGACATATTTCGTATCTGACTCAACCCCATGCAACAAACTTGATACTATGTGTTCATTATGGTCCATTCTTCCTCGACGAACAAGTACATAAGTGGCAATTTAGTCAAAGACGAGAAAACAGCACAAGAAATTTGCCTTATTTACACGTATCGGCAATGCAAGCTGCCCAGCGACTTCCCCTTCTGACGTCACAAGGGGAATTTCTGTATGCAAATGAGAAGCTAATAAGAAGCCTCGTTTTAAAATACACAAAAATAAAGTTTCCGTAGACTGAGTTAAAAAAACATTTTTTCACTTAAAAAAATTATTTATGTATCAATGGATAATTTTAGGCGTGAAAATAGCAGCCATTTTACAGGTACTTTAAGCGAATCATGAAACAAATGCACATATTTATTTGTGACATGATGTACCATGTGTGTGTGAAGTTTGAACTTGATCAATCCAGACATGTCTCGGATACAGAATCAGAACCGAGTTTTTTAAAACAAAATGGCGGCCAGGCGGCCATTTCAAACTTGATCCGAAAAAAAAAATGATGTGCATCAAGGTCCTATTATGTTTAATGTATGTACCAAATTTGAACAAAATCCGTCCATGCATAACTGAGATCCGGGTCCGGAGTGGGCTAATAACAAAGCTGGTCAATCCTTTCCCAGCAACAAGCAGTCTCTCGGCTGAGATACCTCAGTTGTTAGCAATGCACATTTCAATTAAAGAACATAGTTGAACTCTGGTGACCTTGCCCTTTGTTATATAATATAATTCCCTTTATCATAGTTTGTTTCAATATAAATATGCATTGTCATAAAATTAATTTTGAATACAAACAAGTTTTGGGGTTGAACCAACAGTGGGGAATCAGTCTACCGAATGTCCTTAAAAGATGTAAATATCTTACAAAAACATTGGTGCCTTATTTGTTTAATTATTTTAAGGAACATGATTTCCAGCTTTATTGAAAGTAATTGAGATATTTTAGAATAAAAACAAATGTCTCATTGCAAAAAAAAAGTGCTGCATTTAGATGTGAATAGATTCATAAAACATGCAAGATAACAGAAAATTTTAGCTGGCTTTAGTCCAAGTATTTTGTACAGGTGAGACAAATATGAACTGCCTCATTGTGTGACTACTGTATTATATGAAAAGTAAAAAAACACCCTTTATGAATAGCTATCATGTTGCAAGCTCTGCTTTCTATGCAAATCAACTTAAATAGTTGGTGTCCAGTGGAGGGAGAAGTCAACAGTACTGTTGCCTCCTGAGAAACTACATCTTCAAACACTGCAATCTCTGAAGTGCGTTTTTAAACTAGTATTATAAAAAATCTATGATTCTGTTCTAATAGCTGAAACATATTCCTGTGAGTTTTCATTTGTCGAATGAACTGTTTGTCAAATACAGAATACATATATTTTAGAATAATTTTCTTTTTAAAATGTGGATGAAATGTTTTGCTTTTAATGTATTTTTTATGTATTGTTTTTGATTTGATAACTTTTGACTAAACAGATTTTCTATTAGCTTCAGATCTTGATCAAAGTTTGGCACCCAGTTCATAGCAGTGCTTATATTGATTTTCTGA